ATGGAAGAAAACCTTTCAAACAGCTGTAGTCCGTAAACTTGACACGTGTCGGGTTGTGATTGGAAGGATTCGTAAGAAATCGGATTCCTAGAGAATGGAACGTATCTCTATCTTATAGGGGGGTCGACTGTAGAACTATATTTCTTAGTCTATCGAATCCAACTGTCGCGATAGAGAGAGTTTATAGCAGGTCTGTGGAGTCGGAGTCAGTCATTAAAAAATTTGTCGATTCTGACTCCGACTTTCGCGTTTTAAATTTACTTAGTTTTTTTATTTAAATGAAAGAAAATTTATTATATATTTATTGATTTTAAAAAAGTCAAAAAATATATAATTTAAAAAATTTTTCAGAATGACTGAATTATTAACACACACAAAGATAGACGACTCTTCCAAAAAGGGCATATTAGTTTATTATTGCAACGTAAGAGGTTTAAATAGTAAATATTTAGAAATACTTTAAACAACCGAGGAATATAACTACAACTTATAATGTATTAGCTTTTTGCAAGACTTGGACAAATGATGTAAATTCTCCACCATATATAAAAGACTATCGGCAAGAAAAAAGAAAAAGAAAACCTAATCAGCATGGAGATATAGTAATATATATACATAATGATAAACATTATGTTGTTTTAGATCTAATTTTTACATGGAATTATATAGATGTAATTACGATAGTTGTAGATAATTTGATGCTGGTAATAGTCTATCGTTCCTCATCGACAAACTACAGAAATTCCCTAAATGTTATAAATGAAATACTATTACATAAATCAACTAAATATGGAAAATATAAATTACAAATAATCGGGGATTTTAACATCGATTTACTTAAAAATAACTCCTCTGACACATCGGAACTGGTAAATCTTTGCTTTGCTGAAAATTTAACAATTCTGGCTGATTTGATTCAACCAACAGATACGGAAAAATACTCACTCTTTGATAGACTTTGGTCTAACAAACGATAGTGCGTGTCAATTTTTAATACATTAAAATTTGATATCTGACCATCTACCTATCATCGTCTTTACCGCTGAAAAAGACCTTGATACGAGGATAAATTCTACAAAGCATTCTACCGTAAAATCAATAATTTCTCAATTTGCCGTTTACGTTATGCTTTGTCGTCTTGTTTCTCCTGGAGTTATTATTATACTTCAAGTTTGACAACTGACCAATTAGCTGACTATTTAAACACCATTTTACTCGTTTTTATTGATAAATATCTTTCGACTAAAAAATATGTAAAAAAATAAAACTAGCAGGAAAGACTTCTTAAAAAATTTTATATCTAAACACACGCTCACATTAATTAAACAGAAGGAAACTTTACTTAAAATAGTCAAAAATAAAAATTGGACGACTTTCGAAGAACGAAACAAACATTTAGAGGATATAAATAACTTGAATAAACAAATCAGAAAAAATATCCGTAATGAAGAGAAAAACTATTATAGTCTTCTGTTTTCTAATGTTAAATCTTCTGACTTCTGGAAAAGTATTAACACGTTGCCCTTTCAGGTAACCAGGACAAAGAATAAGGCTAGAATAGATCATTTGAATTACAAGGGGAAAATGATAAATGATGAGTGCACTTTTAGTGATATTTTTGCCGAGCACTACAGGTCCTTGAACAACTTTGCTTCAGATGTCTTCGGCAATATCATTTCGGATTAACATAGAACAAATGTTAATATTTCTAATACTTTTTTTTTTGGAAAATACAACGGCCTTAGAAGACTATAATACTATAGAAGGTTTGAAAAACAGCACTCCAGACATCAGTTTCTTAAATATTGAAATCTTAAAACACATATCTGATATTGTAACTCAACCATTATCGTATCTGATAAATAAATCTTTTGAAAATGGTAACTTTTCGCAAAAACTAAATCAAAACTTAGTTTTTCATTGTATAAAAATAAAGGACCAAATAGTGTAATTGAAAATTATCGCCCCACAATAATAATGTCAGTGTTGGCTAAAATTTTGGACAAGATTTTTTACAAGAGATTTTCAACTTTTATAGACAGATTCCAGGTTATTCACAGAAACCAATATGCTTATAAACGAGGATTTTCGACGGTAGATGCCTTGTTGCATTTGAAACAATTAATAATGTCACAACTTGACAAATCGAAAATAGCAATATCAGTTTTTATGAACCTTTCAAAGGCATTTGATAGCTTAAATCATGAACTTTTGTATCAAAAATTGCAAACTGTTGGTCTAAGAGGGACTGCTCTAAGCTGGTTAAAATCATACTTGTCAAACAGAATTTACTTTGTAAAAATTGGACAAATTACTTCTAGCTCTTTCAGGCCGAACAAGGGCGTTCCTCAAGGTTCGATCCTGGGTTCACCGCTTTTCAATATATATATTAATGATTTGTATAACTATATACCAAAAGAGAATATACTGATGTACGCTGACGATCTAGTCATAAGTTATTCTCATACAAACGTTATAATTCTTCAGGAGAATTTAAATCACATTTTAAAAATTTAAAATAGTTATATGGAAAACAATGGATTAGTAATAAACATAAATAAAACTAAATTCCTCCGCTTTGCAAATAGGAATAAAACAATCAATCGACATCACCTGAAAATTAAAATAACTGATTATAACATAGAAAAAGTAAATGCTATTAAGTTTTTGAGAGTAACTTTTGATGACAATCTTCGCTGGAATAAACATACAGATGATGTTGCACTTTCCCTGGCAAAGTATACTGGGATAAATAAGAGAATTCAAGCTTTTTTAAGTACCTCACTTTCGAAACGGCTGTACCACACTTGCATTGAAGCTAGAATAAGATATGGTATCGCTGTATGGGAAACCGCATCTCTATACGCTGTTAATAAACTTCAGATAGCACAAAGTCGTTACATGCGTTCAATTTATAATTTAAACTTTATGGAATCAGTATCTGAACTCTACCGCACGGATAATATTGACAAGATTAGTGAAATTTACAAGAAACAGATTCTATTGGAGGGCTTCAAATATATAAAGGGAAAAAAAGAAAACAGCTTCTCGGAATCTGCACCGATCTTTCAATTAATCTTCTATTGGAATAGTCTGGGCAACGATTTACGTAACATATCGAGTTATGAAATCTTCAGAAAAAAATGTAAAAAACAAAAAAAAAAACTTAAGACGCAATGATATTTGTTCTTAATTAATTTTTTTTCTCAGCTCCAGTACTGTTTTTGTTTTTTGTTTTTTTTTGTTGGTTTTGTAGATTTACTGTAAGATGCTTGTAAAAGTCCAACCTGGCAACAGTGTCTTTTGAGAAATAAAAAAAATATATGATGTTTAATAACATTAATTATTTTTAATTAGCGTTGTCTGTTACCATACGATTGGCCTACTTGATACTTTTTTCGAGGGAAATAGTGACTTATGGAAATTCGGAGAATTAATTTTTAGGAAATTTACAAATGTATTACGCTGTTGATAGTAGAAGATGCCGTGGAAGAACAAACCTATTTTAAGATAAGCTATTACAAAGGAAAATATATGTAAATTCTATAGGCACTTCGCATCACTTGTTATTATTATACTTCAAGTTTGACAACTGACCAATTAGCTGACTATTTAAACACCATTTTACTCGTTTTTATTGATAAATATCTTCCGACTAAAAAATATGTAAAAAAATAAAACTAGCAGGAAAGACTTCTTAAAAAATTTTATATCTAAACACACGCTCACATTAATTAAACAGAAGGAAACTTTACTTAAAATAGTCAAAAATAAAAATTGGACGACTTTCGAAGAACGAAACAAACATTTAGA